AAACTTCTCTCCCTGTCTGTGTGTCTGTGTCTCATGGAGAGCAAGCTGGGGTATGGGAAAAGATAAATTCCTAATGCAAGAAATTGTATATGGCCAATAAAGCAACATTAACATTAACATTATACTGTTTTTCAATTTTTGTTTTTCTAATGCCATGGAATAGTAATTTATAACTCTTATTTATTCCAAATGAATAGGCCTAATAGTTTTAATGCCACATCTCCAGTCATTTTAAAGACTGGTCTGCTAGTGCATGGTAGCGCATTTCTGACATTTGCACAGCAGAGGGTGCATAATAACACATGATCACCATGAGAAAATAAACTTGACAGGTGTTGCAAGGAACCTGTTTTGCTTAGTATTTTGTACTTGACTGGGGCACAGTGGTGTGGTGGTTAGTGCTGTTTCCTTATAACTCCTGGGTGCATGTTCTCCCCATGTTTGTGTGCATTTCCTCCCAGGAGATTTGATTGTTTTGAATTGTCCTGTACTGAGGTTCTATACAGGATGAGAGGAATGTGCTCTCAGTCCCTCCTCATGGCCTGTGCTCCTGTGACATAATATTGCTTTCCATGAACCTCGTCAGTAAAAGTAGCTTTCTGATAATTGATAATGGCTGGATAATTGGGTTCTGTACCTTGGTGAACTGAGGAACTCATCTGGATCTTCCTTGAAGGATCCTTGTGAATTGGACAGATCAATATTGCTGGGTATTGTGTTCAAGCTACATAATGCGGAATTCATTTAGAGAAAGAGTCTATCAGCAGGATATACATTAATGGGCCTAAAGACATGAACTGCATGTATTGTCCTGGAAACAATACTTCCAAGTCAGCCATTACTTGAGTCGTGACAAGCACGTCTTCTTCACTGCAGCACATTCTATTGACATTGATTCAGAGTTGTCTTAATTTTAAGATTTTTACATAACAAACAACTGCCAGTGAAACCATATTCATGAGTTTATATCAGCAATCTGCCAGACCTACAGTGGTTTGACTGCCTGTCTACTAAAACATGAGTGGCTGTATTGTCCTTTAAGTGACTTTAAATTTTGACTGTGCAAAAGGCAAAGATAGATTGCCATTATAAGAAGAATTTATACAATGTTATATATATAAAGATATATAGATACTTGTGGCCCAGCGCAAGCCATTACAATCTGTTGGAAAATCAAATGTATTGCAATGTGCAGTCTGTGTGACGTAATGATTGATCTTGTAATAGACTCGTGCTGTAATAGCAGCTTGGTGACAGTTTATGAAGGGGTTACTCTAAACTGCGAAAAATCAGCAGGCTGGTGAACTTCACTGCTCTTTCGAACGAGAACGATGCCCAGTTTAGAAACAGCAGAGAGCACCCTTTGTATGGCATTGATCAGATCCCATCGGAACGAGGCGATGAGCCCCCTGTTCAGCTGGGACCTGAGATGGATGGATCGATGAGGCTGGAAGGGGACTAACCTTGCTGTCCTTTCCAGACTGTTCCCCTGGATACCGCTGCTGCACCTGCAGCCCCCTGGTTGCCATGGCGATGCTTTGGGGCTTGAATTGAACCACAGGCGAAAACAATATATGCACCCCAAAAAACGCAGCTCCATGAGGTGTCCTCTATGCGGCGGAGCCCCTGGGCATTCTTTCCTTGGGGTGCCTCGGTCCCCCTGCTTGCAGCCGGCCAGAGGCCACGGCGAAGGGTAACTGCCACCTTCCCGCCGGCTGAGATGCCAGAGTCTCCGTCTCGCGTCGTCTGATTTTGTGGTGCTGCTTTCCCGCTGTGTCAGCCGCTGGGATCCGAGGCTGCTGTTCTCCTGGGCTGTGCTGATGCTGTGAAACTGGTACAGCACAGGTTTTGAAAGCGCCTGCTCTGCCTTTTATCTTGTTCTGATGGGTCCTAAGGCCAGATTGGTTGCCGGGGGCGGTGAGGGAGTGGGTACCGCAGCGTCCCTGCATCCAGAGCAGCGCAGGGCTCCAGCAGCAGGGTTTTCAGTGCCACCTCAGAATCGGTGTCAGTGCAGGGCCGCCTCGTTTCTTAACCCTGTGTTGTACTGTGTGTGTTTAAAGGAGCAAAATCCAAGTTTATTCTCAAACTGTCTCAAAGGAACTCAGAAGGTGCTCTGAAAAAAGAGCTCTCCGGGGTGTCAGCCTGGCTGTCTAGAGATGAGTCAGCAGTCTTGTTTTTAGAGTTCGTGTCAGGTGCAGGAAGATGACCACAGAGATGCCTCCTTTCCATCTTTGTAGGCTGTAAAGGAGCAGGTAAAGGTTTATGCCTTGCTGAAAAGAAAAGAGACACAAGGTTTCAGCCGTGGAGCCTTCTCTTTAGGTGTCACCTTTACCTGTTCTCTTTTGTAGCATGCCAGGCTGAAGGTCTGCATTTTAATATGCCAATTCACTACCATTAAACAGATAAAAGCTTCGAAAGCCAAGAGGAACCAAGTCTTCTCTTTGTTACCTTATAATTGCAGTGATACCCCTAATTGTTGATAGTAAACCCAATGAGAACACATTCTGGGCTTTCTTAGGTTTCCTCTTTATTGGGGTTTGGCATCATCAAGTGAAAAAAGAGAACCTTTGCTCGCTTATAATAATTAGTCAACTTTCTGTTATTGTTTTAGTGAGGCATCCATATCTCATTAGCACTTACAAAGACCTCTGAGACACACCGTCTGAATATTGCCATCCAATTATTGTCACGGTTTGATCTGATACAATTTTGTGTACAGTGCCCTTCATGCTCGGGTCCCCCAAAAAGCAGGCTGGGTTGGCAGAATGCCCCCTTGTTTGTAACCCATCTTAGGTTATTGTGAAGGTGCCATAATTGTTCCAAATACAGAGCATAATGAAAGATTCAGCACTGTTGACCCAGCTGGTACTTATTTGATTCTTGAGCCCAGCATCTTTTTTACTTGGTCTGTAAAGCTCCACAGTCTCCTAACCTCTCAGACCCCATGTTTGAATGAAGACCCCTGATAGTGGAATAATGAGATGTTAATGGGACCACCTTTCAGACCTGCTCCTTTTGAAAGACTTGGCTGAGTGACAAAAAGAAATCTGAACAGAAGCAAAGGAAAAAGCACTGCACATCCAACTTAAAGATGGCCAGTCCTTGCCTTTTGTTTGTGCCTGGTCGCTAGGGCTGCTGCATTCAGGCAATGTTTACACTCCCTGGGTTATGGGTTTGTCAGCACTCCTTTCTTATTGCTTTGAGGAAGAGGGTTTTCAGTGTTTGCTTCATTGAGGAGCACATTACATAGGTGAGCTGTTGGAAACAGACATCTGCCTATCTAAGTATTTCTGGTGAAAGTTCTAAATGATGGTCTAACAACAGATAACTGTGTTTTCGATAGTGTTCAGATCTCCTAATGTCCATCCTTATGAACTGTTTCTGATACTAACAGCTGCTGAAATTTCAGATAATGTGAAAAAATATTCAGATATTTGAAAAAAATATTTTTGCACCAGATGTTCACTGGAACTTGAGGTTAGAAAGAAAGATGTTTGGCCACAGTGCAATGAACAACCTGAAGAAAGCGAATTAATATTCAAACCAGGCTAACATTACAGAAGAAAATACCATCTGAACAAAGCAGTTCTTTGCAGGACTGTATTTAGTATTTTTATGCATGTGAAAAGCTCACAGAATTCAATTTTATGATTAAAAAGGCAATGTTGCCTCATTTCTAGGCTTGGTATTATTAAGCTTAACACTAAGGCTGGAAACAGTCTCTAGAACATGTGATGGAACGTCTTTGATGTCAAACCTTTCATACATACAGTATATCTTCTAGGGAAAATGATCCAGGAGATAGTAGTGTTCTGAAACAACCTCTTTCATGCCATAGTTTGTGTTTTATCTGGGGCTTTGGATGTCCTGATTTTTGTGTTGTCGTGTGGCAGTGTCCCAGGACTGAGCTGAACAGAAAAGGAACTTGGAAAATTAATCTGGGGAAAGGGCTTGTCTTTTTGCGTGTTATATATACATACGCATTCACATTGTATAAGATCTCTAATCAGTTTTTTGGAGAAAGTTTCTCTCGGTAATTTCATACACTGCTGTTTAAAAGACAGTTATCTGTTTTGTCGTAAATCTTTGTCATGTCATTCTTTACTGATGCAGTATTTCCCTACAAATTCTTGATCTGTGTAAAAATGTTTTTTGTGTAGCTGCAGTTTTCACTCCGCGTGTGTTATTTATCATTTGATCACAGCTTTGGATAAGCTGGGTCTTCTTCTTTCTTGTCAATGTGGCTAATAACAGGCTGCCACTCTGAGCGATAATTTCCAGCCTTTCTTCACCAGATGTGGCATGAATAGAAATATTTGGCTGACAGTAATGCGACTGGGGGGCCTCATCCTGTAACCTCCTTTGAATCAATTTGTGATGTATTGTATTTTCTTGCAGACCTTCTCTTTATAGTTGCTTTAGTTTGTTTTGTGGGTGTTAATTTTATTGCATCCCATCAAAAAGATATTTTTTTATATTCCAAGGGTAGACAGCTGCTGTGCCTAGCTTTGTTATCAGTTTGCTAAGTTTGTTGTGCAGTGGCCCTTCCTAACCTTAGGAGGCAATATGCTAGCTCAGCCTCTCTGAATTTCCTTATTAACTCTTTATCTGTTGTGTAAAGCCCTTGCAGGGGCTGCATTCAGTGCGTTTGTAACAAAATGGCGAGTCCGGTCAATTGATTGATTCACACAAAACCACCACCTGGTTAAACTGCATTATGTGTATTCGGAAGAGCCTGTATGTACCGTAGGCACATTCATGCAGGCCCGAAATTCAAAATCTAGCTTCATGGGGGAATAAAATCAACGGGTTGTTTTTCGGTTGTTTCTTTCCTGATGCAGCACTCGTGTGAATGCCACAGCACGCACAGGTTTCTGAAAGAATATTGAAACGGGGAATTAGGCTCAGTTTAAAATGGTAACGAGGAAAAAAGAAAGTAACAAAAAGGCCCAGCCTCTCACATGAGAAGAGCCTTTCTGTGGAGGCTGCGTCGTGGAGATTTGCCGCTGGAGTGGGGGACTCCTGGCGGTAGTGCCAGCGACAGGGCAGTGAGCAGGCAGGGGACTGGCTGTGGCAGTCTCCACGCGGGACATCAAAACAGTGTCCCTGCCTTCACCTTCCACGCCATCCCTCAGGCTGGAGAAACGGCAGGAGGGGGACGGGGGCTCAGCTCATTTCCTCCATCAGAAGCTGATCTGCTGGCTGATTGAAGTCCTGCAATTGGATGGAAAGGAAGTAATGAGTTTATTCCACCTGAGTAAACTCATGAATAACACCTGAATAACATTTTTGAGAACCCGATGATGGTTTATTTTTGTTTTTCTAATTTTAAGAAAGCACGTAGTTGATACACCCAAAGTGTGCAGCCAGAGAGTATTAGCTCACTTTGGGTTTAAATTGTTAGTGCCTTTTTTCATTTTGTATTATCTTAGATATGTATTTTGCAGTGCTTTTTTTTCCCCAGTTAAAAAAGCTGTTAATAGAAAGATATTGTGCGGTTTGTCATCTTTTTAAGCACATGATTTAAAATACCTAAAATAGTTCCATCATTTTTCAAGAAAGGGATTTGGAAAATATTAAAAAATAATATTAGAGGTTAGATTGAAAAGGAATCATAAAATTGAAATAGTATATTCACAGTCGTCTTATTCTTGAAAGGAATTGTTCCCAGTAGCTGGGTACACTGTATGAAAACTTCTGACAGATGTGACAAGCATTATTTCCTTAGATTTAAAACTTGCTGTGATCTTCAAAATAGTGGCAGTGAGAGGACCCATAACAAATTAGAAACAATTCACAATAACGGGCATCTGCTTAATGTTTATCACAGTACTCAGATCTCATCACTATAACCACTATAACCACTTATCCAATTCAGGGTCAACGTGTCTCAGAGCCTGTCCTGTGAGCCCTTGGACACGATACAGCCTAGACGTGATGCCAGTCCATCGCAGGGCGCAAACACACCCACACGCACACCGGGGCTCATTTTACAGACCAGCTTGTCTTTGGACTGTGGGAGGAAACCTGAGGATCCGGAAGAAACCCACGTGACCGCAGGGAGAACATGCAAGCTCCCTGCAGACAGCAGCCCAGTAGTTGAGCCCTGGGCCCCAGCACTGCGAGACTGCTTAATATTTCTGTCCTACTGAATTATTGGTGAGGCTTCTATTATGAATGAAGGCTGGTTAATGAAGTAATGCAATAGCACCTTCTTCTTCAATAAAATGTACACAGTGGCATTGTAGCCGGCATCAGGAGTTCCCTTGATGCTGTATTTTGTGTACTTGGTAAAACCAGTGCTAGATGAGCTCTGCTTCTGGATGTTACACAGCAGGCGTTAGGACCCAGTTGGTCGGAGACAGACAGCCCTCCTGCAGCAGGCAACGCCGGCAATAGCGCAGTGCAATCTTTCAGCAGATGCTTTGACATTAGGTTTTCTTTTTATAAAAACATAAAAGCCAGCCAGGAGGAGGAGGATTCGTTTTCATACTAGACCCTGATCGAGATACGCCAGAGATGCTGGAAGCTAAAGGCCTTGTGTAGAGAAGTTGGTGATCCAGTCTGCTTGAGTGGGATTTGAGCAGCCATGGTCTGATCACTGTTAACACAGACAGAATCATTGAAACATCACCACAAACAGGGACAGGGATAAGAGCATACGCCAGCTTTATAACGGCAGAAGCAGCATGGCTCAAACTAAAAGGCACATGTATAGTCGGGTGAGTAAGAAAAATGATTGAATGTTTAATGAAAGGTGTGTGAACTTCTGGGTGTTACTGTCTGCCTGTGTTTCACAGAGCAAAACAGGATTGCTGACAACCAAGGGCTTTTAAACCGGGAACAATACAGTGGCATCATCAAGTCCTCTTTTACTGTGTTCAGATGTTATTTTTCTCTGGTTGTAAACAGATGTCAGCTGTTCATTTCATAACTGGGTGTTATAAATGTATGTTCTCTGTGTTTTGGCTGGGGTCTCTAAAGAGTCAGATAATTAAAAAAAAAGACAAGGCAATAAACTAGTTATGAGCTGCTTGATGGATTGGGGGAATATTTCCTATTTTCCTACAGAGACTTTCAGTTAGTACTTTTGAAGTGTAGCTCCGATTTCAGACTTAATTTCAGGCAAAGACTTTTACTACTGTGTGATTTGCAGATACTGTAGTATGCAAGTACACAACTTAAACTGTTTCAGTAAGCGAAGTCTGATACTTCAGAGATAAAGTCAGTGTAGGTGTACTGTAGGCCTGTTCCTCGCTATGCAGTGACATATGGATCAGGGTTTTGTTGAAGTCACTGTGAATTGCACAAATATGAATGTAAAAATCAAATTCCAGAGTTCATATGTAAAGAAGTACTGCCTAGGTCTCGGAAGAGCCTGCACAAATATTCAGATAAGAGGAAAAGTGAGTGGAAATAAGACATTTTTGTCTTATCTGTGTTATCTGAAATATCTGTGTACATAATTCATGTTCTGCTTACCAGGATTATGAAATTGAACCATGGTTTTAACTGGAAAAACTCTTTCACAAGCACAAGTCTCATGAAAATGTTTTTGGGATGATTGTTTTCATTTAAAAGGCAAAGTACTACTGTACGTTAACCATTATGAATCGTGTATGCATGCATTACTTAGTTACATGAACTTTGTGACATCCTATTACAGGTTTTAGCCTTACCTTATGGAGATGTTCTGGGCCCTGCCCTGTGTTTCAGTGGGCTGTAGTCACTCAAACATGATCTTGTTTTTCGATGCTGATTGTCCAGTCTTGGGTTTTGATTCGTTATAATAATAATACCTTGCATTCTTGTTGCTTTCTTCCTCCCAAAGGATCCTATAATACTTAACACATGGAGGGGGACTCACTTCATCCAGTACTCAAGTGCTGGACCCATCTTAGTAACCTGTGGCAGCCATTATGTGCCAGCAGCACTGCTGCACAGCCGATTCAGGCCGGATTTACTTCAGCAGCGAAGGTGGAATTTAGGGATTGCCATTAAGTCGAGAGTAGAATGTAGCCTTACTCTTAAAAACTGGTCTTTAGTGTCCAACTGGTCCAGATTTCATTTTAACAGCTCTTCTGCACGATGGCATTTCCTACACCTTATGAAGAGCGGGAAAGAGCGCCGCCTACTGGTCCCCAGGCACCACTTACAGAAGCAGCCTGGTTTTCCTTGGAAGTCTCCCACCCCATTGCTGTCCAGACTCAGCCTTGATTAGCTTCTGAGTTGCGATCAGATCCACCTACAGTACATGGTGGTGGCATCCCCCCATTGTCTGACCCTGTTCCACAAGTACTGCTTAAAATGCTGTTGTACACATGCCCTATAAGAAGACGGATATTAAAAAATCTTTCATGCCTCGTGATACCAGCTAGTAGGAATTATTATATATGAAAAAGCCATTCTTTTGTGTATCACCATACTTAAAAGCCCCGACTAGCTCCGCTGGTAGAGCATGATCTCAGGGTAGTGGGTTCGTGTCCCACGTGGGGTGCAAGGTTCTCTAATAACCCATACTGGGCAGTGGCAGTATGGGGGGGCGGTGTTGGTGGCGGAGGACCACGTTTCCGTGACAACGGCAACAGTTCTCGCACTATCTGCGCGGAAGAAAGGCCTGGTGATCTACTTCCGGATTCTGCCAGAAAACTCTATGGATGGTGACGAGGGAGCTGTCCACAGGGTCGCCATGAGTCGACACCGACTCGACGGCACTCCCCATCCTTACTTAACATGTGATTGGGGTCATCTGCCAAACCTGCTACACTTTAGTGCCTTTTCATCACTTCTCATACCTGCTGATATTATCTTTTGGTGGGACAGATTGTGCCACCTGTAATCATTGCTTAAGACAAAAGAGCTACTGACCTTAAGGAAGAGCAGCCTTTATATGGATGTTTAGAATATAAACTGTACTGTTTGCTCACTGTGATGTCTGTTTTTTCTATCAGTGGCATTGCTAGTATTGTAGCATATTCCCAGTGTTGTTTGGAATGATCTTTTATTGTGAGATAGTGTACCAAGTCCAGAGAATAGTTGTTACAGCCCATTGGTTTTGATAACATAATGTGTTGCAGATGTTTGGTGGTTGAGGAAATATTCTATTATGCTTAATGTTATGTGCATTGTCTCCCATCTCTTAACAAAAGAAAACAAATAGTAGTATAGTGCTATAAGTTATACAATATATGTAATGATCTCATCTGTCTGGCTGTTTTACTTAGTCAGAGGTGTTTGCACCATCCTGACTCATGTGCCTAAGCTGCCAGGTTTGCTAAATCTGAAATATCATCATTATCTGGTCCTGCTTGGACCTCAGGTTTTCACTTTTGGCAGGCATATTGTGTTAAGGCCTGCGCTGAAATGTTTGTGCCTGTGCTGTGAAAATATACAGTCTGGATCTGTTTATTTTTTGCCTCCATGCTAAACAGAAAAGACTGCTAATTTTGTAAAAGTGTTAGAAAATTAATACAAAAACATGCTGAAGTATAGATAGTTCCAGACCTGTATTATCCAGTGCTGGCCTGGTAAAATTGTCATGCTGACTTGGGGCTAGGTGTGATCAAGACCAGGAGATGCTTGTTTCAGAAGATACCATTGTTCACGAGGGCTGCCTATCCTCACATTCAGATTAGTTATGGGAAATGAGAACCATCCTTGTCTGCTATTTGTAATTCGAAAACAGAAGAGTTTTTTCTTTTTTTATGTAGACACAAGAAAATATGACAGCTCATTCACATTGGCCTTACTCATCTTGAACGTTTGACTACTAATAGAACATTTATCCAAGAATATAGTCTTGGAAGAACCTAGAATGAATATCTTCGTCCACAATGTGCTCGTCTGCTTGTTTTCTGCACCCACAAACTGTTTGCTTAACGACATGCCTTCTGTTCTCTTTTTCCTGAGTACATTTATATGTTTTCCATATTTTTATGTTTTTGTTCCTGCAGCCGTGCTCTGTGTTGAATTTGAAGTAATCCTTTGGGCTTATGGTTTTGAGGGTTTTAAATGTCTCAATCAATTCTTTTTGCTGTAGGCTAAAGAGGTTCAACTGTGTATTTGAGGCAGTTCCATTTGCTGAATGTATCATGAATATCCTGATGTTTCTTAAGCTTTCAGTTATTGATCTGTTGCAGTTATCCTTTAAACATATTTACAGGAAACTGACCTTTTGTTCAGTTGCAAATATTATCTGATTGAGACTTTATTCAGCTTCTTAACCATCACTGTTGTATTAAGTGTTTTTGTTTAATGAGTACATGTTTGCGAGTCTGAAATCCTTATATGAGTTTCATGTATTTGCTCAGTGCATGAAGGCCTTTAATGGAGAGACATTTTGTCATTTTTCAGGCTTTTGGACAGTCAAGTTTAGACATGCGTTTTCCTGAGTCTCGGGTTTATGATAAACAAGCCTTTTTGGTTGCAAAATCTGTGCTTTTGCTGAAGGTTAGAATGAACATATTTGGCTATATCTTGCGAAACCTGGTTTGAGTACTGAGCAGCATCTGCTCGTGCAGCCATGTCTGTCCATCCATCTTTTAACCACTTTATCCAATGCAGCTCCACAGGAGAACTGGAGCCTGTCCTGGCAGCACCAGGCACGAAACAGAGTCCACCCAGGATGGGTGTCAGTGTGCTTAGGACATTTCCATTGGAGCCATGGATATTTCCATGTAGCTGGAGAAAATTAGTACAGTGCACTCAAGTAAGAAGTGGCCTGTACAGATCTGCATGCTGATGTTGTTCCTCTATGTTGTTGCTTTACTTCCGGTTTATAACGATACTATGATCCCATTTCTAAGAGTAGGGTGTTAAATCCAGTCTTGGCTTAGTTTCAGTCTGGGCCTAAACAATCTCTTGAACACTTCCGCTCGATTTAACTGCAGAGGAAGCCTCTCACTCCCCCCCTGATCGGCTGTGCGCTGGGGCTGCTGGTGCAGAAGGGCTGCTGTGTAACACCAGGGTGGAAGCTGCACTTCAGCTGTGGATGAAGTGGGACCACATCTACTGTATATATGTCAAGTGCTTTGAGATCTTTTGAGTTAAAAAGCACACTGTAAATGAATCTAATAACATGGTATGAAGAAAACGAAACAATCCAATTGCTAGTGTTGAGAAAACAATGGGAATATCAATGGAACTGGATCCATATTGATCTGACTAGGAGCATCACGGTGATGCAGTGGTTAGCGCAGCTGCCTCACAGCGCTGGGGCTCTGGGATCAATTCCAGACCAGGGGTGCTGTCTGTGTGGAGTCTGCATGTTCTCCCCCGTTCGCATGAGTTTCCTACCGTAGTCCAAAGACATACTGGTAGGCTAATTGGCTTCTCGGAAAATTGGCCTTTGTGCAAGTGTGTGTGGCCTTCGATAGACTGTCCCCCGCTTTGTGCCTGCTGCTTGCTGGGATAGACTGCAGGTCCCCCTTGACCTGTAACTGGATGAAGCAGTTAGAGAATGGATGGATGGACGATGTGACTCGTAAGGTAATTCCAGTATGGCTCTTCATGGACCAAGCAGTTGGGTGAGTGTTAAGTGTTGAGTGGATATTGGTTGTTGCTCCACTGCTCCCTGCAGTGCTCTCAGTTGCAGCAGTCAGAAATATACAGGCAAGCAAATATTTTTTCAGTGTGTTCCACTGAACAGCGGAGTCCATTCCCAGGCTGCCTGTTTGACCATGGTATCAGGAGCTGTAGAAAGCCACCTAAGCCTGTACTGAATCTTACTGCTAAAAGTCTATATTACTCCTTTGCTATTTTCCTTGCGCCTGTGATTTCTTGAATTGTTGTGTGTGTTTGAGCTTAGCTCAAGATGTAAAGCCAGCCTTTTTTTCCCTGAGCAAACACACCAGACCAGTGCAGCTAAAGAGATTTGCTGTTTTTCATACATCACTATCAGCAGACATGCTTGCACTATGTGACTTTTACACACCCGGAGAAGGCTGCTCTTTTCAGCAGGGAATAAACCTATTTCTTGTTCCTATAACTATTTTATTTTTCCAAAGACACACCTTTTGACGCTCAGTATAGGAAGTAGTAACCCCTTTAAGCTGCTTCGAAAAAATGACAGCCAAGTAAACTTCTAATAATGATCTTAATATCAAAGTTCTGATTTGCATTAAAATGTCAGAGACAAATTCTGATTGAAACCAGGAGGTTCAATAATGAGTCCATGAGATTTGTAATGAGTACAAATCTTTAGAACCACAGACACAGTAATGGTGAATATCACTCAGAATAACACTCTGTTAAAACCTAATTACAACATTGAGCTGTAATCAAGAAGGACAAGAAGTGAAAACTTCTTTATGAACGGAGACGCAAGAGCTACCCATCCATATGACTAAAGCTGATACTCTGGCTCCTTTCAAGAAACAGATGGATGAGATTCTTGGATAAATTAGCTACTAACCACTACCAAACGATGATCTTGATACGCTTATTTAAGGGCATCTGTCTATCAGAAAGCCAGTAAGATAACTGTAAAAGAAGAATAAAAGGGAGAAAAGTGTATCTTTGTATATCTAACAATAGTTCATATGAGAGGCTGATTCTCAGTGTAACTTTCTGCACAGCGTGATATAGTTCAGATCAATAATAATAGCAGCTGCTAGGCATGGCCAGAAAGACACTGCCAGAGATGGTCTAGCACTTCGGAGTTCTACAGTGATGTCACTTTTACTTTCAAAATGCCTTCTGAATGGCAGCCTGCAGAAAGACAGGGAGGTAAACAGTCAAAATCCCTTCATAGATTAATGGTAGATTTTTAATTTTGTCAAGAGTTCATAATTTGCCCTGTGGTACCAGTATTTCAGAATATTACATGAGGTAAGTGTCTATGGTTTAAATCTAAATTTAATGACGTCTTGTTGGCTTTTTAAATTTGATTTCAGATTTGCATTTGCACACCTTGACCTGTGCAGCCTGTTGTGTGGGTCTCTGTATCTGCAATCTTACAAACCAATGAGTCTACAGACTGAACACAAGCTATAAGTTTTAGTGTATCTATTTAAAGACTGTCAGAGTTCTTCTGTGTTTCTTGAGAAGTTGAATACCCACTTGTGGTATATTGTACCCTTGTAACACTACGTGAAAATGGACAATTCTCCCACGAATTTCAGTTTTTGCAACATCCTTTTTTAAGGTTTCTTACAAACATTGGGTTTGATATTGACCTCATTTTGTTTTTCTCTATTTAAATCTTTTTTATTTATTTAGGCATTTTTATATCTCGCAGCCTTATTCCTTATTTTCAGCATGCTGTAACGTGCTGTACTTTGCCATAGTCTTAATACAGTTCGTGCATTGACTGAACTTGGCTGAACCCTGGCACTGGTGAACTTCTCCTCCAGCAGACAGTTCGTCCTGTCCAGCGCTGAATGTGTAGATATTGGGCCTGCAGAAATACAGTCTGCAGATCCTTGGAGCTTTATTGGGACAGAAATATCGTTGTTTAATAGCTCAAGTGACACCTGACACGTTGTCTGTGTGAGACGTGAGCAGCTCCAGATGAGAAGGTGCTTGGTGTGGAAAGATCTTCGGCTGGAAGCAGTGCGGACTTGCTGCCGGCCAGGGCCTGACCTGACCGCTGTGCGCTCTGTCTCTGCAGACCCCAAGCAGTGGGAGCGGCAGGATGAGCTCGGACGGGGGTGTCCGACCGGTCAAGGTGGGCTCCCGCGTGGAGGTGATCGGCAAGGGCTACCGGGGCACCGTGGCCTACATCGGGGCCACCCTGTTCGCCACCGGGCGGTGGGTGGGGGTGGTCCTGGACGAAGCCAAGGGCAAGAACGACGGGACGGTCCAAGGCAAGAAGTACTTCACCTGCGAAGAGAACCATGGCATCTTTGTGCGCCAGTCCCAGGTAACCCTTCCCCTCGTCCGTCACTGTGTCCTCAAGCCCCAGCGTCTGAGAGAGACCCACAAGAGCTCTCTTAGATCTTCTGATAAAAGCCTTTTATCTTCCACAGTTCTCAGTTCTAAGTTACAGTCTGGTTTTGTTTATAGAAAAACCTTTATATTAAAATTCTTAATGTAGAAGTACCCTGAACGCTTTTGCCACGCCCGCGCAGCCCAGAGTTATTCCGAAAAAGATATTAAACAAGCCTCTGCACCCTCGCCGTCAAGCAGTGTTTCTGAGTCATGTTCATCCCGAGGCACACCGACTTAAAGCTAAAGAGTACCTGGCACACCTCCCTACAGTCACATACACATAACTCACGAGCTCTTGAACGTTCTCAGTTTTGTGGTTACACCACAAAGCTTCCATATCTATAAATAATATTTAACTTGTTGATGTTTTTATTTTGCTCGTGTTTGACTGTTCTCCAATTCCGCGGAGAAGCTCGGCGGTCTCGGCGGCCGGACATGTGACACGAGAGGGGCCACTGCTGTTCACAGCTGGCCGATGTACCAACACTTCCACCTGAAACAGCTCCTAAACCTGGGACCTATACAGTGATGTTCTTTTGCTGATTAGTGGGATGCAAGTGCTTTTGAGGATTACAGAGGAGAAATACTGAGGAAGCTTGCTGCAGGTGACCAGTGCATACAAAAAGTGGATGATCCTGAGCACATCTTTGAGCTCTGACTGCAGCTTGAGAAAGTGTTGGTTGTTCCCATCACAGCACACGCACCTTTTTAGAAAAGCATGGAGAATGATTCTCCTCACGTTTCTAGAACAGTTCATTGTCCATCGCAGATCTTCATTCATCTCTGTTGCTGTTTTTCATAGAATAGGATTTCCATCGCAGCTTATTTTTTTATCTGATTCTTCATTTTTTTTACCAGGTTGTTGTTGTATTCTTTAGAACTTAGAATAGTGCCCTTTTCTCGTAGAACAAATGTGTTCTCTTTTTAGCTTCTCTGTTACCAGTAGACACGCATTACAAAAGAATTATATCATTGACACTAGTCTTAGGGAAATGTAGAACAAGGCCCAGAGGCTAACCAATTTTGATGTAATAGACGTACTGTACAACGCCGGCTACGTCCTTAGTGCAGTGAAGTGAAAGCAGGTACAGTATACAGTATGCTTGGGGTGAAAAATTGCTTTCCATCGGACTTCCATACGTTATGAGTGGGATTAAGCACAACATTGTATAGGTTATTGAACCGTTTTTTTCAAGACTGAATGTTTGGTGAATTACACGAAAAAAGATGTGGTGCACTGAGACAGCTAATCTTTAAAGCCCTCATCTCTGCAATCAATACAGCCTTTGCCTACTTAGGCGTTTCACATGATGCATTGTTTCATTAACGCAGATCACAAGTTACTGCATTTTGAAGAGAACTATGTGAAGTGTTATTAATGGTTACGGAATATTGATTAGTGGTCTAAAAACAATGATTAATTTACCCACTAAAGATTGGCATTTTTGTTTAGTTTTAAAAGTAGTACTATTTCCAGAATATTCCAAATAATTATATACTTAATAACAACTATAAACGTAATCATTTTCCCTGTTATCCCCTGTTGTAAAAGAGTGGAATAGAGATTGATCTTTTAGGTTCCCTGTTGTAAATGAACTGTTTTTTTGTCCTGATAGCTGGCCAGCTGCAAACACTTGCATGACCTGTAAGGGAAATTTGAGATATTTTCAACATTTTACTCCTTAGTAGATCATTCTTCTTCTTAATGAACTTCAATATAATTTTGAATTGCTTTTCCATTTTCTAATGAGTAACAATTTTCTTGCTTATAATAAATGCCTTGTTTAGTGCTAAAGATGTACTAAATATGTTAAATTAAAATATGTATATGTGTAAATGTTGAAAATAATGATTGTTCATTAATATTAATGATAATAACATTTCATTAATATTATTTATAATAATAACAACAATGTTTATTTAAAGCAATGCCTACACCCATTTGTTTCAGAGCAAAGTAGTTTGTTTGCCCATGAATAACGTAGCTCCTGCATTGTAAATTTACACATTTAAGTTGGGGATTAAATGCATGCTCCTGGGATAATCTCTCATCTTGAGGGTTCTCTTCTAGAAGGAAAAAAATAAAAATACATTTTAGGTATAACAATGTTTTATTGGTGAATACCAAAGTCTTGCAGTGATACCTTCCAAATGCCACGATTGTTTTCACACAAATGTCTCTAACTGGAGAGAATGTAGAAGAGGTCATCTGAAAATGCCATTAGCAGGTTTAAGGTCTGATGTGTTTTATTTTAGGATAAGATGCAAATCAAATAATAGGGTACACACTGTATACATGGTGTTTCCAGTTAGGTAGATGGAAATCAGATCACCTCATGTCTAGTAAAAATAGTTAGGTTGAAATTGAGAAACTGCAGAGAACAATTGGTAGATGGGTTTTACCTCACATGTCCAAGCCATCTAGAGCTTAAAGTGTAAGGTTTTTTTTTTTTTGGTTGAGGCAGGTTCACACCACTCTCCATTGGAGTTTCCGTTTCATCAAAGTACATCAGTATTTCAGACATCGGTTTCACTGGTCACTCTTTATATGTAAAACCTTTCAAATGACCCATGGACACGATTCCCAACATTTACTCTTCCCAGTGCAGGAGATTCTTTTCTCATTGTTAAGAATTCAGAATTAAAAAAAGTCTGCGATAGTGGGGTAGTCAACACATGATATGGTTGAAGGCTGAAGATCCCCTGGACTGGAGCAATTTCAATTCTGAAAATAAAATGCAATAAAAAAAATAGAATCGGAGGTTATTCTTTTGAAAGTTTATTTTCTTTACAAAATGTATTTTCTTCTTTGTGAAATTCAAGAGAATTTTGAACAGCTTTTCCATGTCCAAGGGGTAACAATTTTCTCATTTAAGAAATTAAAGAAAAACAGTCCGGTAGATGATCATTGATGCACCATTGATTCTTGTGGGTATAGCAAACCCAGCCCCCTAGTACAGACCCTCCATCCTAGCTGAAAGGAGAATGTCATTACTCAGTCAGAACTATTACTTTGCAGAGTCAAGCAGATAAAAAGGTCGCTGGCACAAATTGTTGATATTCGTGTAATGAACTCTACCCGTAGTTCAGCTATGACATGATAGAGTTCAGTATATCAGACATTTGTGTAGAACTTGATACTACGATAGCTATGAGGCTCGATGCCCTGCCTGGGATGCATGCTTTTGGACTATGGTAGAAAACCGGAGCACCCAGCAGAAACCTGTGTGAACGTGGGTAGAACAGGCACACTGCACACAGACGTCAGGCCAGGTCCAGAACTGAGCTCGGGGCCCCACACTGCGAGGAGCCATGCTTATCACTGCACCAGTGTGCTGCCCATCTTTGTTCATTTTTAGAGCTCTTCTGAAGCACTTGTTTGACTGTTTTAAAGTTTCCATATTTTGAGGTCTTCAGAAAGCGTTTATTTTTAATTATGTAAAACCAATTTTACCTCTTTCAAGAAATACTAACAAAAAGGCTAGGTGGGCAGAATTGTCTCCTCTCGTTTGTTACATTTCTTGTATTCTGACGAGCAAGTATCGAGACCGTCAGTTCTCTGTGTCACCCCAGCATGGCACTTCCTACAGTGTGGTGTTTCTGGATCAACTGGCAAGATAAAGGGGGGCGGGTTGCCGGCAGACGGATGTAGAATCTGGGCAGTTTGCTCTGAATATGGAGGTTTCATTAACATACTGGGGTTTTGTTTTTTGGAAATCCTGGGCCGGAGGAAAGACTGCCTCCTACTGGTCGACCATTATCCTTCGCAGAAGTGACCTGGTTGCTGGTCACAGGGTTGACCAGGTCCTGCCTTGCTGAGCTTCTGGTATCTAATGTGATTGAGCAAAAAGTTTGTAATGCTCCTGCCTGGGATTGAGGTTTACTTGGTTTTATTTCAGCTTTCCCTGTTCGGGCTCAAGATAAAATGCTTAATGTTCAATTTAACCCTGATATTTCTTTTCCACTTGACATTTACACCACCATGCTCTGTCTTGCACCGGGCAGGAATGAAATATGACAGCCCCTGGCAGAACAGCTCGCCTGCACACTTGCACTTCAGCCAGTTCCTTTCCAGTGGACGACTAGATACAATTTATTTTGCCCCGAAGTCAGACAGTAAAATGCTTTGTCAGATATGTGCTTCAAAGGGATGCTTTATTGCAACATTCCCATTGCTACTGAATCTCAGGTTTGATACCCAGCCTTTAAAAATAAATGTAAGGAAAAAATAGAGAAAGAAATTGTTTGTCTATTTATTCAAAGTCCTTGTGATACAGCGAGTCCTTTAATAGGGGCAGTTGATTCCAGAGGTTGTCTAGGAGATGCAAACCATTGATATTCTGCTTTCTTTGTCCTATAATTACTTGTTCAAAGTAGAAATATGCTTTGACAAGTATAACAATTAGTATTGCTTATCGGAACATGTGCATTGAGTGTTTCCTGCTGCCACAATTTTAGCTTTGGACGTGCCTCTGGCAGTTTAAAGATTAGTGCCAGTTAACAAAGGCAGGCATTAATTATTGTATTTGATTTTAGATATTGTCAAATGCATTTTGATAATGTTTAGGCCTTTCTTTTTAGGATATTGTGCTTCAGTGTTCGTGTTTGGGGCTGGATTTACCTTTCAAGTACAGTTTTCCAGATTCATTATGGACAGGGTTAATAACATAAACATTGGTGTGACTTCTCAGACTCAAAGTTCAAAGATATTAACAGTTAATTGATATTAACTATTGTTAATTGTATGACTCTTACAGTCATATAAAAGATGAGTAAGGGGACACACAAAAACTGATTTTGCTGTTGTAGCAAGTGACCATAAAAAAGTTTATATAAATCATTATTTATTACTGGAATTTTGAAGCAACAAAAACATGCAAAATTGAGTAGTAAATAAAACAAAATAAATATCAATCGGTGCAAACTGACTAGACTCTCAGACTCTTACTGGTTAACATGTAGCAGTCTGTTGTATCTAGACCCAGGCTTCCTCATTCACAGCTCTTCACATCCATGGTTATATTAATCAGATGAGGGGATTATTTCTCAGCATAAACCAAACCTTGAGAAAAGTGGATTTCTTAAAAAGATAGGTCTCATGTTCAAGGAACTATTTGGAACTATTATCAAATTGCACGTACTATAAGTATCCATTTGTACAGTTGTTATTCATAGGAGCACAATAAAACTTGAAGTCCAGTTCTGAAACAGAAAGTTTCCAGTTGAAGTCCAGTTCTGAAAATGTAATCCTAACCGACCTTGTTGACCTCTGTTTTTAGATCCAGATGGTTGATGATGGAGCAGACACTACTTCTCCAGAGACCCCAGAATCATCAGTGCCCAAAGTCCCCAAACGAGGTAATGAGGCCTGCGGGAGCATAGCTTTTACATGTCTAACCAGAGGAGAGAGGTGATCGACGTTTCATGTCCTGTGTATTGAAGTTCAGAATACGGCCTTGCTGAAGACTGGTCCCAAGGTGCTTGGGAGTCCAGAAATATTCCCAGAGCGCACAGAGTCTTGCTGGTCCTCCTTCATTGTGTCTGCTTTGTGCTGTAAACTCCTGTCCTGCGTGTGTTCGAATATAAACATTGCTCATTTTTTCCACATGGTAGTGTTGAGTATTTTGAGTCTATGAAAAGTAACAAAACTAGTGATATTAACAATGTTGACACAGTGTTAGTGATTTAGGGTTTAACGTAAGTTTTAACATACTGGAATAAGACAAAAAGCGGCATTATTCCCTGTAAGGAAAGGGAAGCAGATTTTGATTTTGGAAAAGGAGATTGTACCCCAATATAGCTGGAATTTTAGGAATTCCTTTTGTGCCACAAAACATGCAAATTACCATTTTGCAGTAAATGTTTAGCTCTCAACATGATAAAAAGATAGAGAGCAGTAGAAAAAATACGATAGCTGTTCTGTGCAGCGTGAGGTGAGTGTGCAGTGCTGCTGCTGCTGACAAGCCAGCTGATTGCAAAACAGGCTGCCTGCCTGCAGTACCTGCTTGAGCCTTACACGCACAGTTCATACTCTCAAATCTCCTTTGCGTCACTTGGGGATTTAATTGTGTCTGTGTCTTCAATATTTGGCCTGTTGCATTTAATTTATTTTTTTAATTACAGGCTAATTGGTTTTGTGTGAGGACAGGATACACACAACAGCACACTTGGAGCCTGGTGTTGTTGTACAGTGTAAGACAAGGGTGCTGCAGGTCAGAGCTTTGTCATGCTGCTACTGTGGGAGTGACTTGCTCTGCAGGGCAGCCATGTGCTTTAGCTTCAGTCTTTTGATAGGTTTTTGCCCAAAGTTCAGTTTTATATTTCTGCTGTTGCCAGACTGTATGAATGCCGCAGGACCTGCTACTGCACAGCAGTGATTATCAAATAAATGTATTTTTAGTTTAATAACAAAGGAGCTGCGTCAGTTATAGATATTGTTGTCACTAACTTCACAAAGGCCAATTAATATGAACTATAATGTATACAGTGGTCTTTATGCTGCTTTTTAACTTTTCCCCAGCTGTGTTTTCTGGGATGGCCTCTAGAGCCAGAAGAAAATATTCAGCTCTAACCTTTTTCTCACTATTTGTTTCACTGTTGGTTTCCATGGGGACCATCAAGGCAGAGAAAACAAAAGCCCTTTTCAAGATTCTCCAGGAGGTCTGCTGATGTAATGTTCTTCAGCTGCCTTCGCTGCCGCAGTGATGTCAGTCTTCTGTCGTCTTAATATTTTCTTCTCTTTGGAACTGTTGTTGAAAGATTTAGAAAAATAATAGACTGTGGCACAGTTCAATGACATTTTATGCTTAAATTGTTGTAGGTTTGAATTCTGAGTATTTTTTTTAGATTTAGGTCTATCCCTTTGAGGCAATAACTGCATGAAATCTATGACAACACTAGCACGCCAAATTCTGTGTAATGATATGTTTTTCCAAGGTTTAAATGCTGCGGCTTGGGTTTTCCTGACTTTTTTTCTTCAACATGTAAAATGCTGCTCAATTGGATTTAAATCCCTTGATCTCGAGATTGGTTTGACCTAAAACTTTTCCTCCTGATGAACTCCTTGGTTGAAGAGGCCATGTTCTGGCTCAATGTCGGGCTGCATGGTGAAGTCCCAGCCAAGAAGTGTGGAAGCGTTTTCTTCTACATAAGCAGACCAGATGTTTCTGTGAATTTTAGAAGTCATGCTGCTGCTGCCATCATCAGTTACATCATCAATAAAGGATTAGATGGTTCCATTGGCAGCTATACAACTATGTTACCTCCACCATGCTTCACCGATGAGATAGTGTTCTCTGGAGCAGTTGCAGTCCCTTTCTTCCTCCACATTTTAACCTTTCCATCACTTGGGTAATGGATTCTCCTGCTCCTTGAAACCTTGTCCAAAACAGTACTGGCTTTTAAATCTTTTTACTCCCTAACAAATTCTGAAGCTTGCATATTTCCGCCAATATTATACTTATTGTACTTTTAGAAGACACCTTTGGTTTAGTAAAGTAATAAAATTAGAAAGGAAAGAGAAATGATCAAAAGGACAAGTCATAATTAAAGAGGATCTCAGGGCTCTTATGGTCTGATGTATTTAGGAATGCCTGGCATTCCATGGTGGCTGCTGTTGCCATGACTACCTCTAGTTTTGCTGCATTGTCAGGCTTTGCAGTTTTCAGCCTCCTTGTCTGTACAGCTCTCTCACACTGACGGGAGGGGCTGCACGGTTTCATCTGTTGTCAAGCACTGCACTAACAGAGCTCGTTTACCTCTGTTATGTGTGGATTTTTAACAGGGAAGTCTTAATTAAATATATCGTTTCAGCATATGCCCATGCATATTTCTCTTTTTGATACTTTTCTAGGTCAGTAACTATAACAAAAAAAGTCTACTTCCCCCTTTTTAGAGTTACATTATCTACATTTCTCTTTTTAAGCAAGAACTTCCTTCCTTTCAGCAATTGTGTACTCTGAATGTGTTCAAATTATGGAAAGGATTTTCTGGTAAAAATGATCTTAAATGTAATTAAATATTTATCCACGTTGTTAATGTGTTGTATTTATTGTGTAGCTGATGACTTAGAACCATTAGTGTGGATGTGGACTGTAAAAGGACTTGTTAAATTACAGCTGTGCAAGGAAGGCAGCTTCTGTCTGCTGTTGATTGCTCTTTACTTAGCTAGTAGGTTTTGCTTGGAGCCATCTAACCCTCTATTGAGAGACAAGAATGAACCCTTTCTGTAATAAAGCCTGACGATCAGCTGATGTTTGTTTTGTCTCTTCCAATTTGATTTAACAAGAGTCTTTTCAACAGATCGCATTGGACTGCACTTTACTGACATACTGTCCAGCTGATTGCATTGTCCCCAAGATAAACACAGCAAAGGGTCTGAATGCTTAGGCGGTCATGACCTTTTCTGTCTTTCTTTCATATGAATTATGTAGAGGGTGGCATTGGGGTGCAGTGGTTAGTATTGCTGTCTCAGAGTGGGGTGCTATTTGCATGGAGTGTCCTCTGGGTGCTCCAGTTTATTTCCACAGTTCAACAGCGATGGACTAGAGTCCTGTAATGGGTGCACTCTGCCTTGTGCCCTTTGCTTGCAGGGATAAGCTCCAGCTGCCTTGTGATCTGAAATTGGAAGAAGTGGATAGAAAATGGATGGATGAATGATCTATTTAGTCCTTTTTCTTTTTTGGCTTTGACTGTGGGGAGTAGGTTGTGTACTGTATATAACATCAGTTGTGTGGACCTTCACAGGTTTAATGCCCACAAGCTTTAAAGGGTCTTGATGCTTTTTCAAGGGGAGTGAGTACGAGAGTAAAAGCGTCCATACATTTTCCCATAAACACCTGCTGATGATTTGATATAGTGCTCTTTATGATAATATGACCTGTTTCTTTTACCTTTCACAAGAATGAAACAAATGAAAACATTCTGTGGATAATTGTCCATGGGATGCTTTCAAAGCTTTCTTTTTCAAAAATGCATCTACAGTATAATACTCTATTTTTTAATGTATTTCCCTTTGTAAGTAAACATCACTGCCAGTAGCTGTCCTATGCAGTAATGCCATTATTGGGTCCAAAAGAAGGTGTTGGAGTGAGAGGGTGCAGTGAATGTGTTTGTGGTTCAGAAAGATGGTTCACAAATCCTTTAACCTAAAAGCAACCAATCCAAACATTCAACAGAATCATTGAATACTGAATTGCAAAATCCCCTTCCTTCCAGCCCACCTCACGTTCTTGTAGTTCAAACACATAGTTTCCTCGGAGAGACACTAAGTCACCTAAATTAAAGGTAGATCAATCATGAATTTGTGTGTGAATGCTGCAGATTTGAATGTTTTTTTCAAAGCTGTTAAAAGTCATGAGGTTATTTCTTGAATAGTTGAGTGCTAGTGTACTCCGTTGTGTGCTGTATACAAGTTAGAAAACATTTGCAAACTGTAACAGTGATCTGTGTTTTTTTTAATCTTACAGAGCTTTTGGAAACGCCTAAAACAAGCAAGCTGGTGAGTGAGAAAACTTTGCTTGTTTGACAAAGGTATTTTCTAATGTGTTCTTTATAAAATTGCTTCACAAGCCTGTGCAAGATTGCTTACGGTGTAATAACTCCAGCTAGCTACTGTTTTATCCCTGAACATCCTGAACCTGCCAAAGGTAAGTCACCTTGGTAAAGAGAACGAGACTTGGAGTTGCCTGCTGACTTATTGGAAACACTGTCCATGAAACATTATATAATTAAAGCCTGGTGTGTGCTGACTCGATGTTGACTTGGTTTGGTGGTCTCCCCGTTTGCTGTCAGTCTTTTCAGTCCTCCTCCGTCTCTCCTCTTCTCCTGATCTGTGCTCTGGGACACCAGGGCTGGACGGAAATCCTCCACCTTCGCTTCTCCCTGACCTTCCCCCTTGGCCAGGCCCCAGTGGACCTTATCAGGAGCCTGAACTCCTTGATAGTGCATCAAAGGCCTTTCTTATTGATCTCCCTTTCAACCTGCTCAAGTTATGTGTTTCTTAGGGCTACCTGAGCCACTTCCTAAGCAACAAAGCTACTAGGCTATAAATTGATCGATTGACAGTGTCTGTTGACCTGTGAAACACAGAGTGAATGTGGCAGTCATTATCTGACTGAAGGTCAGAAAATGTTTTAGCTCTAGATTGAGTGCAGCAGTAATGCAGATTTGAGGCCGAACTGCTAAGAGAAATCTTTGAGTGGCAGAAAGATAACTGTACAAGTGCAGTAAAACAGCTGTGCCGAAGGTTGCCAGATGCTCTTACTTTTGTGTTTGCCCAATTCCTAATCTCTGCATGTTGGCAAGACTCTGCCTTGCAGTTACAGCCAATTCCACAGATGCAGAGTGAGCAATTTGTGGACGAGAATTCAGGTCACAGAGAAAGATGTCAACTGCAGCTGCTGCTCAGTGCTCTGTATGTACTGCTTTATTACTCCAGGATTTAAAAAGTACCCTACCTATGGCAACTTCCAGGCTAGTGATACAGTCACAGACATATTGTCACACTTTATTTAAAGCTGTTACTAATTTAATTAATTGTGTTCAGCACAGGGTACCAGTGCTAATGTCTTCAAGAGAAGATCACTTTATTGGCCGTATACAATTTCTTGTATTAGGAATTTGTCTTTTCACACACCCCAGCTTGCTCTCCATGAGACACACAGACAGGGAGAGAAGATTGGGGTCAGAGCGCAGGGTCAGCCATTTATACGGTGTAATGTGAAACCAGAACCAATGACCTCCTGACATTCATAATCTTCAGCTTGTTAAAGCTGTTTTACTGTCTTACTGCTTTAATTTGGGACCATTTGCCTTTATATTGACTTATTTTAATTATTGCAAAATATCTCAGATTTTCAACAAATTCAGAAAATCAACAAATTAATTCTTAATTAAGATATTAATTTCTTTGTTGCAGCAGTTATTAATGTTGTTGTTTAGCACTGTAGTGCTGATATGATCTATTATGCAGTATATCCATATTAGATGTCTGCTAGAAATGACAGACTAATTTTATTGCTTGTCAGCAATATAAAATAAACCGCATACACAGTTTTCATAATGTTGCATGCCTTATGTCCAGTGTGATTATTTTATTACTTTTAAGTAGTCATAATGCAATCACGTGATAAAATAAGCAAGGAACATTTTTGTTTATTTTTGTTCCACTAGAGGGGGTAGTGACACCTTCTTGTTGTGGTCATTTGGTCTGAGGCTTTCCTTCAGTCTCTGCTTGGAAATGAGTGGCCATCCAATGGGTCCACAGCAGAGCAAAGATGCAAATGCATTTCTGAAACTCAAATGAATGGAGAGGGATATGTTCCAGGTCCACTCCCAGCCAGAGGTTTTGAACCCCTAAATACAAAAACACTTTATTTGTTGTACTTTTTTGTTGTATTTTTTTGTTTTGTTATTTTAGTTGTACTGAAAAACATTTCTAAACTAACTGTTAATGTCCGACAGTTTCATGTAAAATGTAAAGGGGACAGTCGTGCCCACAGACTCATCTGGACGCCACTTATAAAATCTCCCATCCAGTCTTTTCCAGGACAAATATAGGAAACCATTTCAGCCCTTTCGTGTTGTTAGCTATCAGGTAAGCTAAGACATTCTGTGGATGTATTCAGTAGGTGGGGGTAGTGTCTGGAGACTGTGCTGCTGTACCGGCCAGTGGTGTCAGTGTATATTGTCTCAAACACTTGGGGCTCCAGCGTGTCCACCTGCTCTGGGATTCACAGTAGTTTGGCATTTTTGGAATGAGTTCAACAAACTCTTCATTCTTTCATACATATACTATATATTATTTTAAAAAAGCTTCCCAAGCACATAAGAGAAATTTTAAGTAATTGTAATATTATTATTTGAAGAATTGATAAGCAAGTGCTGGCAAGCCTGGATTTATAACCTCACTGAGACCTGAGTGCACTCTGTGATTGAAGATAAAACAGTCTTTTTGTGTGGATTGCTGTTTGCTTTGTTTCTGCTCAATCATTGCATTTCCACTCGCTACCTCCCATGTATGCTGGCACAATGTACATAGTTAATTGCATAAAAACATAATGTAACCGTAGAAACAAAAGCTGAAGGGAGAAAATTACTATTATTTGTAAAGGTAAAAGTTTTTTTTGTTAAAAGTAAAATAAGTAAAAAAGTTAAATGTATATTGTAAATTTGTAGAAGTTACATAGTGAGGTTTAAGTAAGTGCTTCCAGCACATACGAGTAAGAAAATGATGTTCACCAATGTGATGAGGTCACTTGGCTCATCAAGTCATGTGTCTTGAATCTTTCAAGCCCCTCACTCTGTTCCAGTGGTTCTAAACCTTGAAACACAATGCCCCCCTTCCAGTTAACACAAAACCACAAATAACCGTCATTGACTGTGAAGCAGGTCTTACATTTCTACTTCTAAACTGTGATAAACGTTTGGTTAGAAAAACGTGGTGTGTATTTTGAAGTTGGTTTGTGTAGAAACCTCTCACGCACCACTTTGGATTCTTGTACTATATGCTTTACCTGGCAGTACGTGGAAGATCCTCTTGGACAGCACTTCCTTCACAATTTACATAGACAGCTGTGAAATTACAAGTATACGTGGAATACCGTGATGTAGCTGTGAAATTTCAAGTTTCAGAACAAATAACTTTACAAAACTCCGAACTGGAGTGCTCGATGGTATACAGACGAGTCATCAGAAATGCCCTTTGTGGTGCTTACAGCTTACTTCAGACAGAGGCTCTCTTGCTACTTGGGTGATGATCAGTACATAGTGCCGCATGAACGGTTGGGACTGAATTAAGAGTCACTTTGATCGTTATTACCTGGTACACCTGAGTGGAGAAATGTTATTCATTATCGAGACTAACAAGTTTTGTTTTAAGAGAATATTTCAATAGGTTAAAATATCAGTTAAAAAAGATGGATGTATTGTGCTGGTTATACAGTATTACCTTCTTTCTTTCCAAAAAGATTATAACTTTTTTTGTACATATTCTTGCACAAGAAACTCTTTCTTGATGATCTTAATGTAAGTCTCTCTGTATTGCTGTTGACCAAGACGCACTGCATCTTCTCTTGCCAGCCAGAGACAGCACTAAGTAATCACAAAGCTTCCATAATTCCAGTCTAACAGCAACCTCTAACCTCTGACCTTTGCCCTCCCAACCATGCAGCGAGGAGTGAAACCAAAAAAGGTGGTGCATGCTTCTTTTAACGTGTATCATCACAGACCATCAGGCTGCATGACAGAGCAACTCCATCCCTTATCGCCATGTTACTGTTGTTAACTTCTGCTGTCCCCTCATGTCCATGCGTGTGTATGTTCAGCCACTTTGTGAAACCAACGATAACACAAACAGCATGTGACTCCCTGGCATGTTATGAGCTCTGCCTGCGCAACCGTCTGTGATCATCTCCAGCCCAAAACATTAGTAGGTGTATCACGTACATGGGCAGGTGGGATTTTTAAAAAAGCTATCGGAAGCAGAGAATTTGTTTTATGTTTTGAAGCTTTGATACTTATGGGAAACACTGCCAAGAGGTTAGTTCTGTATCTTATGCACCTCTATTTTGAAAAAAAAAAACACATTTACCTGAGATTGTGGGCATTTTACTAGTGTATGGATTACGAAATGTCGGGCTTTGTGTTCTTGAGGCATGTTAAAGAAGCAAAAGCCTTTTCTGTGTAAACAGAAATGTTTCCAAAATAGAAAAAAGACCAAAACGCTTCCCAAGAAAAAATACATTTTGAATGTACTTGGTACATTTATGTTTTGTGGATTTTGCCTCGCATTTTTTATGCAAAAAAACAGGTGTGCATTCATTAAACACAAATATAAAGAACATTTTATTAAAAAACATTTATTAGTTTATTTGTGTCTGAAATGGCAAAAGAATATTTGTATATGCGCTAGGATTTCTGCTCTTGATAAAAGTGTCTAAATATTATAATATTAACTGCGGTGTCAGAGTCTGTGAGGGTGGGAGATAGGCAGAATGGCCTAAACGGAAAGATTGGGTTTCTCCTTCGGGATGGCTGGAGATTTCTGTGGGAAGGCCATAGTGCTGCTGCAGCACTTATTCCTTCCACCTTCAGAATCCTCCTTCTGAGAGAGAGGGCGAATGCACCTCAACCCCAGCTTGGTCACCACTTCTGACAGGGAGCAGAGCTCAGAGTGAGATCTGGAAAGCGATAGGCGTGAGGAGGAAGATTTGGACTCTGTTCAGGACCAGGTGACTGTTGCCCGATGTCACAGGCTGTGACAGGTGGGGATGATGGCGTGCCCGTTTTCTTCCTTCCTGAGCAGCTTCTCCTGCCCTGCCAGTCCGCGGAGCCTGCGGGCCTCTGTACGTTCCTACGTCTGCACGGTGTGCGTCCTCTGCCTGCCTCCTTTCCTCCTGTCCGCTGCAGGCTCTGTCTGGCGTCTGCCTCTCGTTCGCGTGCGCGAGAGGTACGGGGCTGCACCAGGGCAGCTTGAAAGCTCCATGGTTTGTGTTGGTCTGTGGAGTGTGTGGCTTTTACTCCGAGTAAACTGGAGGAGACATGCAGAGCTGGTCTGGGTGCACTCCTGGGAGATCTTTCACTCTCGTATTGAGGTTTTTCTTTTCGGTCTTTCATGGGTTGTTCCTGTTATATCCTATTATTTGTTTGGTAGCTTGACTTAAGTGATGAGTTCTATTTGTTTGCCAGAAATGACAGAGTGTTCAACTGACCTTTTAAAAGAGTGTGATCATGTTTTTGTTTTTGTGAAGTCGGGTAGTAGGCTTGTAATATTTGCCTCGTGGGACTTGGGTTTCTCCGAGAGCAACGAAGGCTGTGTGTGAGAGATCAGCTCGGGCAGACCATAGCCTTTTCATATCTTAACACCACAGCATAAAAAGCTTGAAAGGGCAGTGTTCAGGAGCAGAATATTTAGGAATCATGTCATCTTAACGCTTGGGTTTGGATGCAAAGCAGAATCTGAGAAGGCTTGTTTTACTTTATCTTTAATGTAATGTATTCCTTTAAGTACGTCTGTAGGTACTGTTCTTACAAAGCATTTGGGCCAGATTTCCTTTCAGTGTTTTTTTTTCTCCAGAAAGCAGCATGTATTGAATCCCTCACTGTGGGTAAATATGAGTCTGAATTCCCTGCTGTCTGCCTTTACTCTCTTCTGAGGCTGTTTCCTTGCCAACTACACCCCCTTCTGTTGATCCTCTATAATGCTCCTCATGTCTTAATCTGGGAAACAAGTCCTGCATGTTTCATTTCTTCCTTGACATTTTGAAGTGGTCCTGCTTCAGGCTCTGTGAGAGGTTTTTATGGGTTGAAGTTGTGCTGAGTACGTTTGCTTGCAAATGGGATGATGCAGTTGAGACCTGGGTGGTGTGACTGCTTTTTCTTTTGTTGCCTTTGTGTAGTGTCCTGCTGCAAAGTAGATCGACATCCCAATCTTGGACTGAGAGGTCTAGAAGATATTTTGGAGGCAGAATTAACAGCCTAGGAAATTATTTCTCCTTAGCAAATATCTGCATTTTGTTATATCATTGAATAGTGCAAAACAAACAAACTAAAACAAAGCTTAAGAACAATCTTTAGTGAATCTGTAGGATATGCGCTGTTTTCTTCATCCCTTATGCCATTCTGCTTTTGTTCAGACTGATCTGAATCCTGAATTTCAAAGCATTAAAGAATAAAATGTATTCGGTATTCATTTTTGTATATGAAAGATGAATAAAATTACATTTCAGTTCTGTGGAATCAGTTCAACTCAAGGTCATCATAGGATGCTGTGTTTTTTCAAGCTGCTGCAAAACCTAACCAGCTGTTACTATTGTATTTTTCTTATGCTTGTCACATCCTTATCCATTGTCTTGCACTAAAAATAAACTATCCAGATTGCAAAAAAAGTTAAAAGTGATCAGGTTGCATTACTTTGCCGTGCTAATGGGGCTTCACACTGTAATAATATCTCTCACTGCACCAGACCACGTCTGCCCAGAGCTGGACAGATGCTTCTCTCTTTTTAACAGTATAGATTTTCCACCTTCTGTCAGTGAGCACATTACAGAACCATCCTACGGCAATATAATAGTCTTTGGGAAAAAAAAAGGTTTTAAGCTCAGAAGCTTTTGTACAGGACTGTGCTTGTGCAAAGTAAATCTGTCTTGATGAACAATATAGCTGAAAGCAGGCAATATTCTGGTCTCCCAGCACAGCCCCATTAGCAGGGTACTGCTAATGATACTGATGCTCAGGGAAACCCCCGTGTGTGTAATAGGAAGTTTCATGAGTATCGGCACAAAGGAGCCAGGCTCCTCCACTTCTCTCCCTGTCAGCCCACGTTGGGCCTCTTGCTTCTTATATCTATTTTTGTGCCTGGGATTTAAAATAAAAAACAAAACATCTTGACCTTTTAACTTATCATCATGATAGCACAGGCGGAATATCAGATGCCTTACAATAGATTAGGAATAATACAAATTGCTTTGCTATGAAATCACTCTGGCAATCCATTCTGGTTTTGGAAATGTCTGTGTCATGCAGTCTCAGTTAATATACAGGAGCTCTATAATAATAGGTGCTATATATATGATAAAAAGGGTGTTGGGTTTTTGCCCTTATGGAAAAACACACTCTTTCCATCATTTAAATTATGTTGGTGTTGCATAAACAGATGTTATAAAGCATTTAAAGCTGCTTTCTGTTCCCCTCTGGTTATTCCAAAGAGTATAATATGTAAATTAATTTTTCACTGCAGATTCTCACAAGTACATCAGAGTAGCAGTGTATCTGTATTTGTGCAGTTAATGCTACAGTTACAACACTTGAAGATTTTCCTGACATCTGAAATGAATGGCTGTAACCTTTCTCGCATCTCAAGGTTAAATATGCATTTTCTTAAATGATCATTAATAAATAAAAACAATTCTAGGGTCCTAAAATAATTGCTTTGACAAGTGTGTGCAATGTGCAGCTCACAGCTCAACCCACAAAAATAATCGTGCAGGTCAGAGTCCAGCCGAGCAATATTATGGTGTTGATCATCTCATAATATTGGGCCGTGTGTCGATCACTTAGGGCCAATAATAGAGTCAGCCCGCACTGTGTATTGGCAAGCAGGCTGCACCAAGGGCTTCTGCCCCAGACGTCTTTGCTCTCAGCCCACGCATATGTCACAGGCTGTTGTCCCCTGTTCCATTGTTTTGGGAAGGGACTTGTGTTCCATTCTAATTAGCTAGCAAAAGAGCTCGCAGGGTGTTGCTAGGATACAAAGGAGCCTTGCATCAATCCTGCCCCCTGCCCGCCCCCCCCCCCAGTCTCCCTCCCGAGCACAGCAAAGCTGCGAATCAATTACTGGTGCAATCCTCTCCTCCTCTCTCTGCTCCCTGTCTCGGGCGGAGCCGGAGAGGGAGGGGGGCCGTGGGTGGTGATGTAATGTGAGCGCAGGGCGGTGGTTGGAGAATCGCGGCAGTGAGGCAGAGGGGCCGCTTGCTTGCGAGAGCAGGTGCAGGGCTGCGGCCTGGGGAACGGCAGAAGATGGCACGGTTCTGATTAGCCCAGCACCGTGGCGGATTGCTCTGGGAGGGAAGAGGGATCTGTGAGCAGCTTAGGTGGACAGACAAAAGGTTCACAAAGGACAGGAAGGCAAAAAAAAATCATTTCCCCAACCCTCACCCCCTTCAAAGGGTCCCTGCAGCCATTTGCAAGCTTTTTTTTTTCCCCAGCATCTCCAGGCTGTGATACTGTACCTCGCAGAACCTGAGCCGTTTTTTTGGTGTTTCGTCTCTGTCTCTCTGAATGTGATTGTCACTGAAGGTCTTTCTCTGTTTATTCCTCTGTGTATTTTATTGCAAAATGATGAGGCAGACCCCAGCTCCCAGGAAGGTACAGAAATGTTACATTTACTGTTGATTGTCATCCATTCATTGTTGATGTTGCTGTTTTATTTGTAGCTGTTTTAATGAGATTTGAATGGTGTTTCCATAGCTCTTTTGTTATTGTTTGCTTCTTTCATCATTTGGGTTTTCTTGCACTATTCTTGTACTTTTTTTCTTAAGTCTTTGATTTACGAATCAGATACCATCACTCGATCTTTGATTCCATTTTCATGCGTAATTTAAGTTGGAACATTTAAGTGCTGATGGAAGTGTTATGTGCAGTGTTTTGCTTTCATGTGACTTGAATCATGCCTGTCAGGTGTAGCTTTGTAAGTGTTAGATAACTTTTGATTATACTTTAAGATTACAAGATATGTTTGATAATAATGGCAACATTTCATTGTTTGTTTTTAAGTAAGGTATCCTCATTGCAGTTTAAAAATGTTTTTTTAATTTTGTTCTGGAACAGAACCTAAACAGCTCAGCTAATCATTTTTGCCTCTTTATATGATTGAGATGTGTGTTCTCAATTTTAATATGGACTTTTTTTCCTTCAGTGTTTGCCTTAAACTTTAGGGTGTTTTTAACATTGGAAATGCTTAGGCATCTAAGGATGTGGCAGGTGTTGAATGTTTTGGTCCGTATATTGATAGATTGTGTCAATCATTTTCATCCTCAGCAGGAGCATTGCAGTCCAGTCAAAGATGTCTAGGACATAAGTTTTATTGTGCTGTTTTTAAAGACATGTTTGGCATTTGTGCTAGTGTTTGCTGAAGCAGAACACCTTATGTTCTATTGATCAAACATTACTGTCAAAGGCTGATAAGTTTAGGTTGAGGCAACATCTTATTGAGGAAATGGCAAAGTTTGGCGGGGTTACCTGGATGTTTCATTCCAATGTGTGATTCACTTCCAAAAAGTAAGAACGTGTTTCTGTGAAAGCTGGTTATGATCTTTAAGAGACGTTGACTGTTACAAAAAACAATGCGTTTATAATCACCTTATTCTCTTTCAGTCAACAACTGTTGTTTTTTGTTCTTTCAGTTGTTGACAGAAACATAGAATAAGTGAATATTGAATAGAATAGAATAGTGAATAATATAAACTTAAAACACTGAATGGCTTTGACCTCATAAAAGCCACACTATTTTTGTTTTCTGAAGCTTGCATTTATTTCAGAGTATTATATGGATGCACTTATACCCTAGTTTGAAAAAGTAATTATCTTTACTTCCCTCTATTCCTGAGGCATGTACCCAGTAACAGTTTATCGTATATCAGCAGATCCACAGTTATTGTCCAAAGCTGTGGAGTGTGGGATGGTATTACAGGAAAACATAGTTTTAGAGAATTGACAATAGAGCAGTTGCTCCTAAGGCTGACTATTCAGACTTTGCATAAAAGAAACTACAGTCTTGAAGAAACTACACTGTAGTTTCTTTGAGAAACCAGCTGGGGTGATTAAAAACCAATTATTGTACCAGTCTGTACAGTGCCAATGAAAGCTTGGTTTGATCTGGGATATTTGTGTTACTTTCTCAAAGAAAAGTTTTTTTTTTAGTTATTGGTAATGATGCAGGTATTGGTAATGGTGTCTCTTTCAACAATAATCTTGAGGAGTATGCTGATAAACTGTAATCTAATTCATTCAGTTTGTAAGAGTTTCTTTTTCAAAAAGCCTTATCTAACTAAAGTAAAACTAAAATGTATAATCTGCTTAAAGGAACTTTTAAATTCACACTCTGCAAGACTGACCTGACAGCCTACGACATTATCGTTATTGTTATTCTTTCAAATTAAGAAAGAATATGTGAAATCTAACCGTAGTGGAATTTCCTTCATGGATGTGTACCACATTTTGAAAACTTCAGTAGAGACCTTACAAGTGACTATTAACACTTTCAGCAGTCTTAAAGATATACCTAGCCGTTGTTTAGTTGGGTAATGGTAATGTTTTATTTACAATTGAAAGGCCATGAGGAAGACAAAGAGGCCAAAATGATTCGTGCTGCCTTGTATAACTTGTTATAAAGACAGACAACTCTCTTGGCAAATTTATTCAGCTTGTACCTGAGGCTTTCATGGTGATGTATGATGTACTCAAAGTATTACTTGGCCTGGCCGGTCTGGGCTGAGGAATGCCTGCTTTGCACATTTAGCCACATTTAACCACGACGATGTGTGTCTGTTCTCTCGTTCTCCGGTGACTGCTGGCTTTGCTGCTGGTGCTGCTTGTGTCTCTCTGTGTGTCCTTTCCTCCCTGTGTGACTCTTTCCTCTGAGCCTTCCCACTCTTCTGCAGACCACCACCAGGCGCACCAAGGTGAGCTCTCGCCCGAGCAAGGCGCCCCGCGCACCGGCCTTTTCACAGGCCTCTCTTAAATGCCAGTTTTCAGGACCATTTCACAATAAATAGAAAGATCAACAGCATCCGCTTTGAAGTGAAAATACGAATCCAACCTCAAGATTAACGCATGAAACATGCATTTGGCAGAAGGTTTGAGTATATTTAGATTTACTTTACCTATAAGCAGCGCATGCATTTTCCTTTTGGTTTCTAGGTAGTCGTCCATGATGTAATGTACCTGCTTTAAGCAGATGTGGTTACTGAAGCAGGTGCCCATATCTGCAAATGAGGAGGCTTTGATCATATCCAGGCTGTCCTAGCTGAGCATCCTTTGGAACTGTGCACAAAATTTATTGGAACCTTTTGTTTTTACTGTCATTGAGTTTTTAATCTCAATTGACATGGAAAGAAATGCCTATTTGTGTTCAGCTGAAAGCAGAGGGCAGACTGAGCCTGCCTCATACTGTTTTCATGCCAAGCCTAATTTTCTCAGAGTCTTGCTGAAGATACTGTATGTGTGGTGCTGTTGACCCTGCAGTCCAGATGACAGCAAAAAACCAACCAAAACCAACCTCTTTTTGAACGTCTGCTGTGCATTTTGTACAAATGTGAATGAATGAAAATAGTATGAAACTAATCCATGTACTAAATGATATATACAGTATATGAAAAATTATTTATTTAATGTAACAGTCTTTCAGCTTTCAGCAGTGTACTGTGTGGGCTACCATTTTAGCCTGTGTTGGGGATATGTCCCGAAGGTATTATTGTCATCTTAATAATAGTAAAAACTTCACTTTATATAGCAACATTAAAAAGTAACTTCTCAAAGTGTTTTATAGAAAAAAAAATCTTTAAAAGGATCTCGCAGTCAATACTTTATTCCATTCAAACAATTTAAAGCTACCAAAACTGCATTTGTTATTCAGCAAAATAATGTTAATAAACCCATGCATGGAAACAAAAAAAAAAGCTTTTTACAGATGAAATAAACTACCCTTTCTCTGATGTGGATAAATACTGTAGCAAGGTAGACCATGAACTTCTAATGCACTTTTGCACAAATGATGCTTTGCAAAATATTTTCAGATTTATCATCAATTGTACTGCCCACAGCTGAGTGGCGGAAAGGAAGCGAGATGGATTCTATACCTTTGTGCTGTTTGTATCTGGTGCTCCTTACGGAGCTCAGCAGTCCAGTCAGCACCCTTAATTAACTGGCCCTCTCTTCATACAAGAGACCTGATCTAGTTCATTCAGTGTTCCCCAGGGCTTCTCCTGCTCTCTGTCATTCCTCTTTTTTCAGTTTGCAGGAGTAAAGGGCCAGAATGAGTTACGGTGAAAGTTAAAATGAGAGCTGCTTGTGGGGGCTTTTAGTCGTAGAGGTGACTGATCGACAAAGCAAAACCGTCACATACAGCAGTCTCTGTTTTACGTCTGCCACCACTTTGTCCAGGTTACACTTTACATCGGAGTTTGGTTTTCACCGATGTGTCTGTGTCAGTAAAGGTTGCTAGAAGGTCTGCCCGTCAGCAGGTGGACGCACCTGCGTTGTCGCTGACGGCCTCCCCCTCTCCCTCCTGACTCCACAGCCGACACGGCCGTCCAGCTCGGCGGCCTCCAGCGGCACGGCGGGCCCCTCGGGGTCGGCCTCCGCCTCGGGGGGCGAGATGAGCAGCAGCGAGCCCAGCACGCCCGCCCAGACGCCCCTGGCCGCGCCCGTTATCCCCACGCCCAGTGCCTCTCTGCCTTCCCCGGGGGCTCCACAAGCCCCCGGCCCTAGCAAGGTCTGGTATCCCGCTTCCCGTTTACATTTACTAACATGGGAAAGACTGCAAATGGGAGGAGGCCATTTGGCCTGCTGAGCCCGTTTGAGAGTTAGTAATCGATTGGTCCGAGGATCTCTCTCCAGCTGTTTCGTGTAAGAAACCAGGGAATCAACTTCGACAGTGTGGTGGTGTCGCTTGTTCCGTTCAGTTTTGCTTAAGTTAGATTCCTTAGAATCCTGTGCTGTCCAGGAAGAATCTCAATGTGATCTCAAATGAGTTGTGTTTGTCATGTTGCTCATGTTAAATCAATTTTTTGTCTTTATATCTGAAGCTGGAGGTTATCCTTTTGGGGCCAGGTATAATGGTGTCTGTTGTGATTTCATGGAGGCACGTGAGGTGAGTGTTTACTGACTTTGATTTCGTATGGATTTCTGTAGGAGGAGGAGGCCCTGAAAGCACAGGTGAAGGACCTGGAGGAGAAGCTGGAGACCCTGAAAATGAAGCGCAATGAGGACAAGGCCAAGCTGAAGGAGCTGGAAAAGTACAAGATCCAGCTGGAGCAGCTGCAGGAGTGGAAGAGCAAGATGCAGGAGCAGCAGGCAGATTTGCAGAAGCAGCTCAAAGAGGCGAAGAAGGTACAGTACCTCACTTTCACTGTGCATTGTCTGACCTCACAGTCCCAAAAGCTGTCTTCAGATACTAATAATTACAGTAATTGAGCCCTGAGATGTTTGTGCTTGTTATTTATGAGGAGGCCACTGATTTTAGTCATGGTAATTTTTCCCTATTGAAAAAACTTTTTCAAAGGGGAAATGTCAACTAAGAATCGACCTGGCAGTGACACTACTACTCAGGAGGAAGCTTTGCTCTGGCTTTACACCATGTGCAAAAATTTAGCACCTTTTTCCTGTAGTGATACTTTAACCTGACAGTACAAATATAATTAAAGGACATCATGTCATGTAAGAGCTTCCCAGATTACAAGCTGTGACTTGCATGTTATTCTTCCTAACAAAGAAGAAACACACAGCAGTGTGTATCTTAGGATAAATAAATACCTTGCAAAAACAATCTCATAGAGAGAGCACAGGACCACGGAAATATCTTTGGAAAACATAATAAACATACTTTAAGCAGTACATTAGTTTCTGTGTATTTATATATGTAATATATATTTATATGACCCAATATATCATGGTCATTTGTAAAAAAAAAATAATAATATTTATTATTATTATATATATATATTTATATGACCCAATATATCATGGTCATTTGTAAAAAAAAAAGAATTTGAACCTGTGGGTTTATATGAATAGCTTTTGCTGTATTACTTGCATTGAATGTAATCAGAGCTTCATGTGGGTCTTAGTGATATAGAAAGGGGAGTCTAAGTGAACAAATAACACCAGAGTTTGGTGCTTGTTTAGTTTATTCAATAAACAAAATCATCCATCATCCAGTGTCCCTGTGTGAAAAGGTTAACATCTCCCTTAAATTCGTTAGCTAGTTGCACCACTTTAGCTGCAATAACTGCAACCAAATGCGTCATGTAATTGGTGATCTGTCTCGTATCACTGTGTAATAATTCTGGCCCATTCCTCCATGACACTCTGCTTCAGTTTATCAACATTTCAGGATTTTCTGCTGTTGAGGTTCCACAATTCCTGTAAGAAAGGCACTTCCCCCAAAAAGGGACTATCAAAACAAGTGATGCAAATCTGTTAAAATCTGGTTTATTCATCTTCAAAAAGTTTTCATTTTACTTTTCTCTGGATACTTTTCCTTTTCTTGCCTCACCTGTGAAAGGGTTGAAGATTTATTCCAGTCCTTGCCTGTCTTTTACCATATTACCAGTTCTACCGTTATTGCTTTTTTATTGTCCCTGTGCCTCTTACAGCCCCACGTCTTATCTAACGCAAAGCACTGGAAACAAGCATGCATTGATTAGTTTGCTCAACAATCTGCACATAATGACTGTCTGCTGTCATGCTCAGGGAGTTGAGGCAGCAGTACACATGACTGCTCATTGCCTTCTCTCTTTGAGTGGCTACTGTGACATCCGGGATGAGGCTTGGAATGGCTAAAAATAGTGTAAACAAGCCTTCCGAGGACGTGCTCGGCAGGAAATGCTCTGAGATGACGTGATGCCACATCCAATTCCAAAACATCCAAAACGTAATTCCAGAAAGTTTTGTTTTGTAATTTGAAGGTTCCAGTGTGTTTTTCCTGTATTTTTTCTTCCGATTTTGGAAAGCCCACTTTTTATTTCTCTTCTTGCTGTGGCAGCACTCCACCTAGTGGAAAAAAAAACTATTACAGATCCTCGGATTGCAAAGCTTAACTAATTCTCACAGGGTTTGCTAACCCCTGGCTGTTCTGATATGCTGCCGAATGTGAGTGTTCAATCTCATTCGGTTTTCAATCCTGTAAATATAGTGTGTCTTTATATGAGTCCTTAAAGCGCAGGCTGAATAATGCAAGGCATTTTCATTTCTGCAGTTGCTTTTGAAATACCCGGACGTTACTTTTTATGAAACTCTGAAATTGCCAAAATATCATTACACTTTCTACAGAAAGCTTCAGAACCTTCAGAAGTATCTTCAGATTAAGGGCAGAAAAAGTGAGAACTGAGCTGTGGTCCATGTGTTGAAAAGGAGACCTTTGGAAGATGGGCAGGTAGAAAGAGTTGTAAGAACTCAAATTTCTGTGTGTGGTGTGCCAACTTCAGAGAGGCAGGGGCACCCAAAGGACTTTTGCTTTGAGCCCTTAACGTGTTTCAGGAAAGGGTAAAGTGGAACAGCAGGGAGAGAGATGTGATGATCCTCACAGTCCTCACAATCCTGAGGGTCTGGGAAGATGAAGTCATCATAATGTCTAGAGAGCCCCGCAGAGGTTTTTGTAAAAAGCAGCAGGGCCTCTGCAGAAAAGAAAAGGAAATGTTGGCATTGTCTGTGCTTTTGATCCCTTCAGGAGGCCAAGGAGGCCCTGGAGGCCAAGGACAGGTACATGGAGGAGATGGCGGACACTGCCGACGCCATCGAGATGGCCACACTGGACAAAGAGATGGCAGAGGAGCGTGCCGAGTCTCTGCAGCAGGAGGTGGACTCCCTGAAAGAGAAGGTGGAGGAGCTCACCATGGACCTGGAGATCCTGAAGCATGAGATTGAGGAAAAAGGTGAGCTGCGCCCACAGTGAGAGCACCTGGGGGCAGCCAGTGCATGATCTGACTTGACCAGCATGTGGTGATGGGTCATGTTGCCACTGAAGGAGAAGGAACTCAAGACCTCGTCTGCCAGATAGGCCCTGTCTGATTCTTATAGGTTTGATGAGTGTTCAGTGTTCTCATTAATGGATACAGGTCTCTTGTTTACAGTCATACTTTGATACATCTCCTAAATTACATCTGCCATCTACATGACTGATGTGGTTTTGAAGGCATATTCTGGAAGTTTTAGAACTCACATCTGAGACAAGCTGGTCAATCAATCAATCAAGTTTATTTATCAAATGGACAAGAATACAGCGTGCAGCAGTAGTTGCCGGCAATGAAATGTCTTTTCTACGAGCTCACCGGGGTGGATAAAAATCACAAAATTAAAGTTACAAAATAAGGTGACGTAATAATAGATAATAATGTATTTGAAATTGAATAAAATAAACTCAGACAAAACTCAATATAAATAGAGCTGTATATTATGTCTGCCATTACATATCCAGAGATACTGTGTGGTGGAAAAGAGATTGATTTTTGAGTTTGTGTCATCTGTAAAATACAGAAGAAAGCAGAGTTGTTGACTCTCACAATCATTTGCATTACCCCATTGCTGAACTCTTTACAACTCCCTGTAGCACATTGTTACTCAAATAATCACTGTTACTATCCTGTTCATCTGATTACTAATGCGGTACGTTTCCCAGGGGCTTCTGACACATGTAGTGTTCAGTTCAGTTCAAGGTGCTTTATTAGCATGACCGATAGGTACAAGTAGTGTCTAACAAGCATCAAAGAAGATGAGTTTTCTTAGATTGCATAGGCTGATGAGATGAGCCTTTAATAAAGGGAAAGGAGAAGACAATAGTATGAGTGTGTTTGGGTTTGTTTTCTGATAATTAAAAAACCTGTTTGTTTACCCCACCATTCCACTTAGGCTATAGTAAAGTGTTTATAGTATTGTTTTTCTTGTCTTAGATTTCTGACATTCGTTTTCAAGATGTCAAGCTGTGAGTGATGGTAGTGGTTTTTAGTTATCATTTGAAGATATTTCTAGTTTTCTTCTGTCACTGACTTTTTGTGCTCCTTTGTAGTTTGGTATTAAACTTGACAAGCTGTGTTAATGTGATCTCTCTTTATATACATACAAGTGAGTCTATTGCAGCACATAAAAACTATAGTATGAGGAAAAAATGAATTAACTTCTACTATCTGACTCACATTTGACTGTATTTTGTAACATTTCCTATGTTCATATGAAACTTTAAATTGATTTGCTTGATTTGACATTATTTTATCTTTTTTATCTTTCATGAGAGAGGTTATAAACCTTTAAATTCATAAATGTATTCAATAATTGATTAGAATTTTAGGAGACTTGTTTTGCATGCATTAAAAAGGCTAAGTTAAGTTTTAATGAATGCAAATATTTAAAGTGTGTAAGAGTCTTTCTGAAGGCAGCAGAAATGAATTTAGGAGGCAGTTCTAGTCTGCTTCATTATGAGGTTGCAGAGCAGTGATAAGGTTTATGTTACTATTCACATCCCTGGATTTGTCAATGTGACGATATCTTCAGTGACTTGGGGTCTCCGTTCCAACAGGCTCTGACGGCGCAGCCTCCAGCTACCATGTGAAGCAGCTGGAGGAGCAGAACGGGCGCCTGAAGGAGGCCCTTGTCAGGTCAGTGTTGCTCACGTCAGGCTGGGCCTTGAATGATGGGGTGGCCGCATGTCTGACTTTGACCTCAGACCTCTTATGTTAGAATACCAGGCTTTTTAAAGCAAAAGCCATTAGAAGTCACTCGAGCCCATCGTCCGCTTTGTTTCAGGCAGCAGGGTGGACTGATCCCGTGGCGGGCGTCCCATCCAGGGGTGTTCCTGCCCCGTCCCCTGTGCATCAGGCATTGACTCCAGGTTGCTGCAGTGATTACTGGGGCTAAGCGGTTTTCCAAATAGAGGACGATTGATGGCACTCTTTGGATGGACAGCCAGTTTGCTACGTAGTAGAAGTCTGGTTGCACCTCCAGGTGCTGCCTTTTACAGAGGCGTCCTTCTGGCCCCTAGTGCCCAACCCCCCCCCCCCCCCCCCCACCGGGCCCGCCGCGAAGGTCCTAAACCAACCTCCTCGCCCCGCAGGATGCGAGACCTGTCTGCCTCGGAGAAGCAGGAGCACGTGAAGCTGCAGAAGCAGATGGAGAAGAAGAGCTCGGAGATGGAGGCGCTGCGGCAGCAGAGGGAGAAGCTGGTGGAAGAGATGCAGCAGGCCGAGAAGACCATCGACGAGCTGAAGGAGCAGGTCAGAGGGCCGGAGGCCTCGCCGCCCCGCCTGGGCTCTGCGTGCTTATTGCTGTCCTTTCTTTTGCTCCATTCATATGTATACTTCAGACTGATTTTTCTTTTTTGGGTTGTCCACGATAACAGACGTCTCGTTGCCACTAAGAACCGTAGATTGTTAAACTGCCACTGATCCGTCAAGTGTGACGAGACAGACAAGACTTCCGGTTTATAACCTTCCTGATGATTTAAGTGCATCTTCCTGAAGCTTCTGTTTGAGTCCAGAAATTCAGCTCTTCTAGACTGTCAGTGTAGTTCATGCTGTAAAGTAACTGGTCTTTCTTCTTTTGATCGATATCAGCTCAGCTCATTTTTTTACAATGAAGTGATTGTACACAATATTCTATATTCACTACATAACTACATTGAAATTGTGTGGTTATGTCAGAGCTTCTATTTTGTCCATTTAATAATAATTCCTTACACTTACATAGCACTTTTCTGATGTACATCGTGTAAGAAGTATGTTCATAAATCCAGTACTCATGCGAAAGCTTTAAACCCCTGTAGGTTGAACATGCTTGAAATAGAGTCAGTTCCTGTTGATGCGCGAGATTGCCGGCGGTGACAGCTCACCTCGGATCACCGGGGTTGCTGGTGGGCGCGAGCCCGTGTGGTGCTGACGGGGCTCTGGGGTTCGCTCTCTGCGCAGGTGGATGCCGCCCTGGGTGCCGAAGAGATGGTGGAGACGCTGACGGAGAGGAGCCTGGACCTGGAGGAGAAAGTGCGAGAGCTGCGGGAGACCGTCAGTGACCTGGTGAGCCCTCCACCCCCCGGGACAGCGCAGAGCCAGGGCCTCGCCTGTTTGGAAACTCTACAGCCGACTGCAAAAGAGAAATATGGAAAAGAGCAGAGATGAGCACCTCCTGAAAGTACCTCCTGGCGGAGCGGTGGCTCTGTGGCTAAGGATCTGCGCCTGTGACTGGAAGGTTGCCGGTTCAAATCCCGCGGCCGGCAGAGGAATCCTACTCCGTTGGGCCCCTGAGCAAGGCCCTTCACCCCAACTGCTCCAGGGGCGCCATACAATGGCAGACCCTGCGCTCTGACCCCAAGCTCCTCTCCCTGTCTGTGTGTCTGTTTCTCCTTGGAGAAAAGCTGGGGTATGCAAAAAGACGAATTCCTAATGCAAGAAATTGTATAGGGCTAATAAAGAAACATTATAACATTATAACATTAAACGGATAGTGAACCTGGAGATTACTCGGTTATGAGCTTTTGAGATGGACACATTTCCTGTGAGTTGCCGTGTGCCTTAGAGCACAGCAGGGGATAAACGGGCTAATGTGCAGGGCGGACGGGTTCCATTGCACCATGCGGCTGTGCTGTCTGACTGGCCCGCTGTCCTGTCGTTTCGGGTCCTGCTTTGATAGCTCCTCGACTGGCATCCTGCCTGTTGGCTGTCCCTCGCGCTGCGGAGCGAGCGCTGCGCGCCGCGGGCCTGCCGCGTGGCTGGGCATTCTGTGCGAGTGACCTGCCGCTGTCCGTGGCTGCCCGCAGGAGGCCATCAACGAGATGAACGACGAGCTGCAGGAGAACGCGCGGGAGACGGAGCTGGAGCTGCGGGAGCAGCTGGACCTCGGGGCCGCCCGGGTGCGAGAGGCAGAGAAGAGGGTGGAGGCGGCGCAGGAGACGGTGGCTGACTACCAGCAGACCATCAAGAAGTATCGGGAACTGACCGCACACTTGCAGGTGAGGGGAGAACACCCTGCCCCAGCCTCATGAAACACACTCATGTCTCCTACGATGGATCTGGACTGCAGGTGTGTGGGAGAGCACTGAGTTGAGGTCCAGGTTTTCCATCCCAATACTGACGATGCGGTTTTGTTTATCTTCTGAGATCTCACAAAAGTCAGGATATAGGGTGATAACATTGTTGTCAGTTTATTGTTTTTTAAACCCTTTAAGGAGTGGTTAGCACAGCATGTACAATGCTTAGAAAACTTTGGTCATATTTCTTAAAATGCTTAACGAATGCCACCATCTAGTGGTGAAGCTGATGCAAAAATGTAAGAATACACTTCCGTCCTAGATGGGCTATGCCCATCACCTACAGAGCTCTGAGCACACACACATCACTGTGTTTGTCCCTGTCAGAGTGCTGAACACACACACTTCTGTGTCTGTCCCTGTCAGAGCTCTGAACACACACACATCACTGTGTTTGTCCCTGTCAGAGTGCTGAACACACACTTCTGTGTCTGTCCCTGTCAGAGCTCTGAGCACACACACATCACTGTGTCT